GGGGCGGGTATACAGCCAGAGCTCAAACAGTAAAGCAGAACAATCAACAGAATCATTTTCTCATCAGAAGACTCAGAATGGCGTCATGATACCTCCAGGTGACCAATTCTGTAGAGGCCAGAGGTTAGATCTCTTTATCTCGTAAGCACTCATGGTGTGGTCTTCTTGGTAATTCCGGCTATTTTGTAAGGTTACAGTCCTGTGACCTTCTCCCTGGGTATTGACTCAGAGACCAAGCATGATTATAGCTTTTGATGACTGGAATAACGTAGAAACAGTAAGGTCAGTAGCTTTAGTTTTAACAGTGGGCCTGGAGCTGTGAGCAGCAGCCAGTCAGTCAGGTCAGTTGACTGTTTTAAGGGTGAGCATACGGACAAGTGATCTGCTAGCCTAAGTGCGGCCGTTTTGTTGCCGAGTCCAAACTCGGTCTGCTCGCCGCACGACAGGCCAACAAATCGGGAGACGAGGTGTTGTGGCAAGGAGTAGAGACTCTATTCGGAAAGGGGATGGCAGAATCATGTCTTGGAGACCCATCCTGCTCTAGTCAGGATACAGGCTCCTTTTCTACAAAAAACAAGGGAGGGGGTGCGGGTGGTTGTTTGCAAACTTCTTGCCGCAGGCACTCTTTGTTCTTACAGCCGTCAGTGTGGGTCAGGCCGTGGTGTCCCTGTAAACTTCCAACAGGACAAAGTTTATTCTCTATTGCAATTTTATTAATCCTCCTTCAAGACCTTTATGGGGAAGCCCCAAGGTTCTCAGGCTCCATCTAGAAAATTCTCCCAAGGCTATTGCAGGACGCTAGGCCACAGTTTGCTTTAACTCGTGAATTCATTAAAGGTTGCTGATGAGTCTTCCACGGTCCTCCATTCCTGTCCGTCAGATCCCCGGGAAACCTACAGGGACTACGTCCGCAGGAAATTCCGGCTGATGGAAGACCGCAATGCGCGCCTCGGCGAGTGCGTCAACCTCAGCCATCGGTACACGCGGCTCCTCCTGGTGAAGGAACACTCCAATCCCATGTGGACCCAGCAGAAGCTTCTGGACACAGGCCGGGGACATGCGAGAACCGCAGGCCACCAGGCCAGCCTCATCCAGATGGAGGCCCTCTTTGAACCAGACGAGGAGCGCCCGGAGCCGCCGCGCACCGTGGTCCTGCAGGGTGCGCCCGGGATGGGCAAATCCATGCTGGCCCACAAGGTGATGCTGGACTGGGCGGATGGGAAACTCTTCCAAGACAGGTTTGATTATCTCTTCTACATCAACTGCAGGGAGATGAATCAAGGTACCACAGAGAGGAGCGCACAAGACCTCATCGCCAGTTGCTGGCCTGAGCCCAGCGTGCCCCTCCAGGACCTTGTCCAGGCTCCTGAGCGCCTCCTCTTCATTATCGACGGCTTTGACGAGCTCAAGCCATCTTTCCACGACCCGCAGGGCCCCTGGTGCCTCTGCTGGGAGAAGGAACGGCCCACGGAGGTTCTCCTTAGCAGCCTGATTCGGAAGAAGCTGTTGCCCGAGCTGTCCTTGCTCATCACCACGCGGCCCACGGCTCTGGAGAAACTCCACCGCTTGCTCGAGCACCCCAGGCACGTGGAGATCCTGGGCTTCTCCGAGGCAGAAAGGAGGGAGTACTTCTACAAGTACTTCCACAGCGAGGAGCAGGCCGGCCAAGCCTTCAGTTTTGTGAGGGACAACGAGCCCCTCTTCACCCTGTGCTTCGTCCCCATGGTGTGCTGGGTGGTTTGCACCTGCCTCAAGCAGCAGTTGGAGGGTGGGGGGCTGTTAAGCCAGACGTCCAGGACCACGACCGCCGTGTACATGCTCTACCTTCTGAGTTTGCTGCAACCCAAGCCGGGGACCCCAGCCCTGAAGTCCCCGCCCAACCATAGAGGGCTGTGCTCCCTGGCGGCGGACGGGCTCTGGAATCAGAAGATCCTGTTTGAGGAGCAGGACCTCCGGAAGCACGGCCTAGATGCGGCGGATGTCTCCTCCTTCCTCAACATGAACATCTTCCAGAAGGACATCAACTGTGAGAAGTTCTACGGCTTCATCCACCTGAGTTTCCAGGAATTCTTCGCCGCCATGTACTACGTCCTGGATGATGGGGAAGGGGGGCCCGGCCCAGAGCGCAGCGTCAGGCGGCTGCTGGCTGAATACGGGTTTTCAGAACGGAGTTTCCTGGCCCTCACCGTGCGCTTCCTGTTCGGACTCCTGAACGAGGAGACGAGGAGCTACCTGGAGAAGACTCTTTGCTGGAAGGTCTCACCTCACATCAAGGTGGAACTGTTGGAGTGGATCCAAAGCAAAGCTCGGAGCGAGGGTCCTACCCTGAAGCAGGGCTCCCTGGAATTCTTCAGCTGTCTGTACGAGCTCCAGGAGGAGGAATTTATCCAACAAGCCCTGAGCCACTTCCAAGTGGTCGTGGTCAGCAATGTCTCCACCAAGATGGAACACATGGTTTCCTCGTTCTGTGCGCAGAGCTGCAGGAGCGCCCAGGTGCTGCAGCTGTACGGGGCTGCCTACAACGCGGACGGGGAAGACGGGCTGAGATGGCCCCAGGCGCCTCCCGCGCAGCTGTGAGTACTTGCTGGGGCTCTCGGTCCAAGCTCGTGCTCCCCTTCTCGCCTGGGGGGACTTTGCCCCCACCGCAGGAGATACTGGGCAATATCTGGAGAAATATTTGGTGGTCACAGTTAGGCGAGATCGGAGGGATGCTCGCAGAGACGCTGTAAAAACATCCTAAGATGCACAGGACAGCCTCCACCATAAAGAATGCTCTGGGCCCCAATGTCAGAGGTGTCCAAGTGTTTTTCTTGCTCTTAAACCACACGCATCAGACGAAATTGGGGCCCGTGTCAAGGAGAATGTGTTCAATCAACAAATATTATCAAGGGCCTTATATCTGCGGATCAGGCACTTTTTTTTTTTTTTTTAATTTTTGTGGGGCAGTTGAGTTTCTCCAAAGCTATGGGCCGGGTGATGATGAGCAAATTGAAAAAAAAATTTTTTAATTAAAAAATTTTTAATTTTAATTAATTTTTTAAAGTTAACATTAGGTTTATTTACTTATTCATTTTTTATTTTTTATGGAGGTACTAGGGATGGAATCCAGGACCTCGGTCATGCTAAGCACGCACTCTACCACTGAGCTATCCCCTCCCCACATCTACCTTGTGCACTTTTTTATAGACTGAAGACTGTGTGAATAAGCCAGCCAGTGCCCCTGCCAGAGCAAACATCGGGATGAGAGGGAAGATAGACAAAGAATAGTAAATAAATGGGCAAGCGGGGTGGGGGCATAGCTCAGTGGAAGAGGGTCCTGGATTCAGTCCCCAGTACCTCCATTAAATAAATAAATAAACAAACAAACCTAATTACCCCTCCGTCAAATAAACAAACTAAAAAAAAAAGTTTGAGGACCACTAGTATGAGTATTAAAATAAATATCTTTCATTTATTACAAAGATGGCAAAATGCTTCATAAATTGTGATGTGACATACAAGGGCCAGACACCATCTTGGTAAAGCGACCGTCCTATCTTCCCTTCATGCAGGCCCGAGAGAAACGTCTTACCAGATGCTTACAGCGAACAGCTTGCTTCTGCCCTGAGCACCAATCCCAACCTCGTGGAGCTGGTTTTGTACAGCAATGCCCTGGGGGGCCGGGGGGTGAAGCTGCTCTGTCAAGGACTCAGACACCCCAACTGCAAACTTCAGAATCTGAGGTGAGTCTGGGCTGCTCTGCGCACGTCTGGTGGCCCTGCTGCTCCATCCCACGGGGCTCAGCCAGAAAGAACATAGGGTGGTGTGCTGGTTTGCTCAGGGTCCCACAACGCAGTTCCACAGATTGGGTGACTGCAACAACAGACTTTGATTTTCTCACAATTCTAGAGTCCAGAAGGCTGAGATCAAGGCCTGGGCAGGCCTGGTTTCTTCTGAGATCTCTCTCCTTAAGAAGCAATGGCCACCTTCTCCCTGTGTCCTCACATGTCCTCTGTGTGCGTCTGTCCAAATTTCCTCTCTTCAAGGACACCCATCACATTGCACTAGGGTCCACCCTAATAACTTCATTTTAACTTAATTCCCTTCTTGTAGTGATGGAGAAAAGAAATGGAGAAGAGTGAATGAGAGAGGTCTTGAGTTCCTCTCATAATGCAGCCTCTTTGAAAGCATTTCCTTGACTGCCAAGCACCAAAACATTTTACATTACTCTTGTTTCTTTTATTTTTAAAAATAAGATGTGATTCATATACCAGAAAACTCAGTGCTGTTCTGTTTTGTTTTAGTATATTCACAAGATTGTGCAGGGGGTGGGGCAGCCCTGTGGTAGAGTGCATGCTTAGCATGAATAAGGTCCTAGGTTCCATCCCCAGTACCTCCCTTAAAATAAAAACAAATAAAATTAACCTAATTATCTCCACCACCAAACAAAACAAAACAAAAAACAAACAAGATTGTGCAAACATCACCACGATCTAATTCCAGATCATTTTCATCACACACCAAAAAGGAGCAGCATGCCGATCTGCCTCCCCTCAGCCCCTGGAGACCCCTCATCTCCTTCCTTTTGCTTTAGAAAAAGGGGGAAAATAGGTACAGGCCAAAAAAAGGAGGGAGAGAAGGGACAAGGAGCAGACTGAACAGAACAACCACAGATGAGACCCCTTGGCTTTTTTCTTCTTTCAATCCCAGGTTGAAGCGGTGCCAAGTTTCCAGCTCTGCCTGCCAGGACCTCACCGCCGCGCTGACAGCCAACAAACACTTAGTAAGGATGGACCTGAGCGGCAACGATCTTGGGCTGCCGGGCATGAAGCTGCTTTGTGAGGGGCTCCGGCATCCCAAGTGCAGGCTACAGATGTTGCAGTGAGTCTCCAGCCCCCGGGAACAGGTCTTCCGGGGCCACCTTGTTCTCCCCTGGGGCTTGAAGATCTCCCTAAATGCTGATCCCCAAACTTCTGCCTCGAATTAGGGCTGCCCTTAGACCCAAGACCTTAGACCCCTGCCCTGGACTCTCTGCCCTTTGGAGAACCTCTTTCTCACCTCTTCTGACTCTGAGTATTTCCCTGCCTACCCAGAAGCCACACCCTGCTTGTTGCACCGTGCAAACCATGTTTCTTTTTTTTCCTTAAATTTGTATTTATTTATTTATTTAAAAATTTTAAATATTTTAGAGGGGCAGCAATTAAGTTTATTTATTGTTTTTTGGGGGGTATGGGAAGTACTGGGGATTGAACCCAGGACCTCCTGCATGCTAAGCATGTGCTCTACCACTGAGCCATACCCTCTCCCCTCAAACCACATTTCTGAACATCACTTTTTTCCTTCTGTTTTCAGTGGAGGTACTGGGGTTGAACCCGGGACCTCGTGCATGCCGAGCATGCACTCCACCACTGAGCTGTTACCCTCCCGCCTCACCACGGTAGTTTTAACAACCAGTAGCTCCCACTGACGGAGCGCTCACCACGTGTGGGGCTGGTTGCACAGCCGCTCCCTTTAGTAAGTTATGTAATCCGCACAGCAACCCTAGGAGGTAGGCACTATTACTGCCTTAGTTTGACAGTCAGTGACCCTGAGACATGGCCACGTGGTGCTCATAACATGAAACTGAGACCAGATGAAAATTCACTTGCGGTCACAGGCTTGGCGGTGTGGTGGGGTGGAGGTGGGGGTGGATGTGAACGCAGGTTGCTGAGATCTAGAGACCCCATGAGAACCATGGTGCTGTCTTGCCTCAGGGGCAGCCCCTGCATTGGGTCATCATGGCTCACCCGTTTGTCTGATTAGAGAAGATTCTCCTTGCTGGGAATGACAAAGTCCTGTTCATCTCTGTGGCTTTAGTGTTACGTGTGGGTTCATGTTGGGTGATTAAGCAGGCCAGGGCGGCGCCATCAGGACACAGAGTAGCCAGATGACACCCTCTTCCCTCTTCTACGCCTCTTTCCTCCCAAGGTTGAGGAAGTGTCAGCTGGACGCGGGGGCTTGCCAGGAGATGGCCTCCGTGCTCAGCACCAGTCGACATCTGGCGGAGCTGGATCTCACAGGAAATGCGCTGGAGGGTTCGGGCCTGAGGCTCTTGGGTCGAGGCTTGAGGCACCCAGACTGCAGGCTGCGAATCTTGTGGTGAGTTCTACCCTGCCTTTGTGAGTCTGACTACTCTGATACCTCATGGAAATGGAATCGTCAAGTCAGTGTCTTTTTGTGACTGGTTTATTTCACGTAGCATGATGTTTTCAAGGTTCATCCATGTTATAGCATATGTTAGAAGTTCCTTCTTAAGACTGAATAATATTCCATTATATATGTTTATACATTCATAAATCAAATGTATATAATACATTTTGTTCACCCATTCATTCATCCGTTAATGGACACTTGGGTTGCTTCCACCTTTTGGCTCTTTTGAATACTGCTGTGAACGTTAGCATACAAATATTTCTTTAAGCCCCTGCTTTCAGTTCTTTTGGATATATAACCAGAAGTGGAGTTGATGGATCATATGGTTTTGTTCTGTTTTTTTTTTGAGTAAAGATAGATTTATTCAGAGAGATACATTGAAAGGTAAGAGAAAGGCCATGAGGTGTGGGGGTTGGGTGCTCAGATTAAAAGTAGGTACACACTCTATACACAGAGTGTGGGCCATCTCCGAAGAGGGAGGGAGAGGGGTGGCCGATCATATGGTTATTTTTAGCTTTTTTGAGGAACCACCATATTGTTTTCCAGGGTGGTCGAACTATTTCACATTTCCAAAATTCTGCATTTTTTATTTACATATCGTTTCCCTTGGTGGCCGAACCATTTTACGTTTACAGTTACAGCCCCATTAGTGCACAAAGTTTCCAGCTTCTCCACATCTTCCCCAGCCCTTGTTATTTTCTGGGTTTTGGGTGGTCGCCATCCCAGTGGGGACGAGGTGAGATGTCACTGTGCTTTTGATTTGCCTTTTCCTGGTGACTGGTGATGCTGAGCACCTTTTTCTGTGATTTCTGGCCATGTGTATGTCTTCTTTGGAGAAATGTCTATTCAAGCCTTTGACCATTTTTAAAACAAGTTGTTTAATTTGGGGGCAGGGAGGATAAAACTAGCGTTGTGCAGGAAGCACTCCATAACGTATGTTGAACTGGATTTCCTGCAGGTTGAAGATTTGCCACCTCACTGCGGCTGCTTGTGAAGACCTGGCTTCCACCCTCAGTGTGAACCAGAGCCTAATGGAGCTGGACCTAAGCCTGAATGACCTGGGGGACCCCGGGGTGCTGCTGCTGTGTGAAGGTCTCAGGCATCCCCAGTGCAAACTCCAGACTCTCCGGTGAGTCCTGCTTTGCTCCCCATCCTAGGGTCCAAATTCACAATCCCTGCCCTCCTGTCTGGGCTCAGTGGGACCATCTCGCTCCCCTCTTAAGCTCTAGCTATGTTAGCCTCCTTTCAAAGGTTTTCCTGCCACAGGGCCTTTACACAAGCAGTTCTTTCTTCCTGGAATGCACTTCTCCTCTGATTTCAACTTTTTTTTCTTTACCCTGATAACACCTGTTTCATCTCTTAGAACTGAAAACAAATGTCTTATTCCTCAGGGACACCTCCCCTAACCTCTAGATGAGGTCTGGGTTCCTAGTTTTAGGATACTATTTGACCTTGTACTTCTCAGCATCACTTATCAAAATTTGTAATTTGTGTATCTCTGTGTGTGTGTATGTGTGTGTGTGTGTGTGCAGTATTTCAAAATTGCAGGAGCTGTTGCAACTCTGTATTCCAATGACTGCTATAAGAAAGACCTGGCTCAGAAGTGCTTAGAAATACATATTTTTTCTTTTTCTTTTTAAAAAATTTTAATCTTAAAAATTTTTTTGTTATTTTTCTATGCATATATTTTAAAATGAGGGAACAGAGGACTAAACAAATGCACAGATGAAAAAAACAAATGAACAAAAAGAAAATGCAGCCAGGCTGTCAATGGTCAATTTTCAGAAAATTCTTTTTCTTTCTTTGTAGTCCCAAAGGAGAGTCAGAAAATCTTTTTTTTTTTGGTCCTACGGTAGCATCATCAATTACCTGATGTCATTTGCTCTGAAAGATTTTTTTTTTTCCTTCTGAGACATTGAGCCATAGGGTGGCTTCTATTGTGTTTCTTGCGTTTAGAGCATTAGGATAAATCTATGTCCCATTTCTTCAGACCTTCCTCTCTATTGCACCTTTAAACATTTCCTTTTCACACTGCGGTACATGTAATTAGAACGCTCAGAATTCTCAGCTGGTGCCACAGTATTGCTATGGACCCACACACGCTTTTGTTTTATTTTTGTCTGCTTCTTTGCCCTCCCCTGATGTCATCTGTAGGCACTCATGTCTTTATTTTACATAAATGTTGCATCTCATCAACGTCTCTTTTTGTTCCCAACGTATCTTTATTCTTCGAAGATCTGTTCAGGTTGGTATAAGCGTGTCTAATTTATTCCTTGAGACCAGTCTGTGTTCCATCCTTTGCATGTATCAAATGTCGATCCGCCCAAACCCCACCGCTAGAACCGTGTACAATGTTGTGATGTACCTTCTTGTACATGTGTCTTTTTGAATCCTCGTACCGATTCCACCTGGGGGTACATGCTGGATCACACTGAATTTGCATACTTGATATCTCAGAATAATTCCACATTGTCCTCTAGAAAGAAGCAGCAGTTTAAGAAAGCTCCTGTTTCCCCATATTTTTATGATGATTCAACTTCCCATTTTTAGCACTTCGATGGGTGTAAGATGTTTTTAAGTGGTATTTTTTTTCTCATAATGAGTGACGTGGGGCATCAGTTCACATTCTTCTCAGGTTTTGTAGTTTCCCCATCCTGTAGACTGCCTAGTCATGTAGTTTATTTATTTCTTTAGCATGTGTCCTATGTCTTGTTGATTTGCAGATGTTCCCTTAAGTATTTTAGGTATTAATCCTTTGTCGACTGCATACTTTGGAAATGCCTTCTCAGAAGGTCATCAATCTGTCAACTTGTCCATAGATTCTTTCAACAAGTAGAAATCTCTATGTTTTGAGGTCAACTCCAGACATATTTCTATGATATATTTATTTATTTATTTATAATTGAAATGTGCTTGATTTACAACATTGTGTTATTTTCTGGTGTACAGCAAAGTGATTCAGTTGTATATATGTATATTCTTTTTACTATTCAGTTATATATATATATATATCCTTTTTCAGATTCTTTTCCATTGTAGTTTATTATAAGATATTGACTATAGTTCCCTGTGTGCTATACAGTAGGACGTGGTTGTTTATCTATTTTATACATAGTGTGTATCTATGGTATGTATTTTTGTGACGTTTCTAAGAAATCCTCTCCCAGTGCAAAAATATGCCCAATTTCTTTTTATGTTTATATGGGTAGTTAAGTGGAATCCAACTTATTTTTCTTCAATTTTTGCAACACCATTTTATAAAGTATCTTTTCCTTGCTCGCTTGTAATGCTGACTCTATTGTAAACCATTCTCCCATGTGGTGTTTGACTTTCTCCTTTCCACTGGTCTCTGTTCCTATTCCAGTTGTAATCGTTACAATTTGTAATATGCCCTGCTGTTAGGAAACTCCTTTTGCTTTTTTTTTTGCAAATTTTCGTAGTTATTCATGGACATTTAGCCTTCCAGGCAAATTTGAGAAAGCACTGGTCCAGCTACCCCAACGTGGCTCGCATTGGCTGAGCCTGTGTCCTTTCCCCTGGGTCAGCAGAATCAGGTCAGCCACTTGCAAATAATCATATTTACATAGATCCTGCATGTCACCCGAGGAAACTAACACACACGGAGAAAGGGGGAGTTTGGGTTTTCATGGCACAGGTAGCTGTCTCAGGACACGCAGGAATCACTGGAAACTAGGCGGGCAATGCTATACGATACAGTTGCACTTTTGACTCCCGAAGCTGCAGATGTGTGCGGAAGGGGTGGGTCAGCTCTGATCGCTGCTTGGTATCTTTCCAGGCTGGGCATTTGCCGGCTCAGCTCCGCAGCCTGCGAGGGTCTCTCCGCTGTGCTCCAGGTCAACCAGCATCTCCGGGAGCTGGACCTGAGTTTTAATGACCTGGGAGACCTCGGCATGTGGTTGCTGTGTGAGGGGCTACGACACCCCACCTGCAGGCTCCAGAAACTGTGGTGAGTGGCCGGGAGTCAGGACCGCTGGTCTTGGTGGCCCCTGGGGTGGGAGCGTTTTTCTGTCTTTGTGCTTTTGCCGTTGAACGGTTACCCCCTCCCATCACTTTGGAAGATGCAATATGCCCAGAAGTAGAAAGAAAAACTATTGCCAACAAGTGGTGGACAAATTCATCCTCTGTGGGAATACAGACGTAAAATGCCAAAATTTCCCTTCCAGTCATTGCCTTTAAACACCTTCTGTAGAACTCCCCTTTCCTTTGACATTTACCTGGGCAGATTTGTAGCCTTTCCATAACCTTTATAAAACAAAAAATTCAGTCTGGCCCAGTGTAAATTCCAGGCGAATGTTAATGAACACTCCTCTGTTCTTCCAAAACCAGCCTGGCCCCCAGCCGACAAGGCTTAGAATGAGATGAAGCGTATCTATTTTTTAAAAATTTTATATTGAATGTAGTTGATTTACAGTGTTAGTTTCAAGTGTACAGCAAAGTAATTCAGTTATATGTATACATACATATACATACATATTTTTTTCTTTTCAGATTCTTTTTTATTATATGTTATTACAAGAAATTAAATATAGCTCCCTGTGCACTCTGTTGTTGATCTATTTTATGTATATAGAAATGTGTGTCTGTTAATCCCCAACCCCTAATTTATCCCTCCTGATAGTAACCATGGTTTGTTTTCTAGGTCCTTGAGTCTGTTTTTGGAGGCATACTTGTTTTTATTTTAATTGTCTTCCATTTGTGAGCCTCTTGCTTATCTGGGGCATTGGGTAACTGGGGACTAGGTGGGGGCTTAGGGACAGCATCTCCCCCTTAACTGGTGTGGCTAGAGTCCCTCTGGGATATTAGTACCATCCCCTCAGTCTGGCAGACATCCGAATGCTCCCTCTCTTGGGGGTGGGGAGTTGCATGTGAGTTCTGTTGGGGGTGCCTTCACTGCCCAGTCTTCTGATGTGGAATCTGGGTCAACCTCCTTGCACAACCCCCTCCCCTGCTCTCACCATATGTCCTACTCCTGACCCTTCTGTACCTGTGATGGGAGTGATTATAGGTCACCAAACTGGTTTTTTCTCTTCCTTTGCAAGTCCTGAACTATTGTCTTGTAACTCGTTTTGGAAGCTCAAATCTATGGCCTCACAGCCTCAGCCAAACTAAGATGAAAGTATTTCCATTTAACATCCCAGCCATGACAGGACTTATTTCAAAAGGTTGCTGGGGGGCATAAATGATAAAGCAGACGTAAAGCTGTTAATAAGACTCTCACTATACAGTAGGTCTTCAATAAATGCTACCTATTTTTATTTTTGGTGTAACAGCAGAGAAAACAGGAAGGAAACACAATTGGAGACAGAATAGGAATCGAAGGGAACCAGATGGCGTAGTGTTCAGGCAGGTGGCAGCCCAAGTCATACTGACGTCTGGAAAAAGGGGAAAAAAAAAAAAAAAAAGCATTGATTGACTTATGTAACTGAAACAGTTAGGTTTCAGGTATGGCTCGATCTAGGCATATAGATACTTGATCTCCATTATCTTCTATACTTATTGCTGTATTGGCTCCATTATCAGTTAAGGTTAGCTCCAGGAAAAGTATGATTCTGATTCACTGGTTTTGGGTGGCTGGGCATATGGAAACTAACCACATTAGGCCTGGAGCCTATATCCACTGATAGAGACAGTGTTAACATAGGTAGACTGAGACTGGGGTTTCAATGAGACATTGGGATAGAATTGCAGAAGGCAAAATGGAGACTTGGCTGCAGAATTAAGAGATGTCCATTATAGATGGATTATTAATTGAAGAACATCCTTAAAATGCCTTTTTTAAATGCTTCCCATCACTACATCGCCCTTAACCTAGACTGGTTCAGTTCTTCTCCACTGTTTCTGAAATTGATCCTTAAAAATAATAATAGTAATAATAAATGCATCCTTACAAAACACCATCCTGATTCCCTGTGAAAACGACACTTTCCAACAGTGGTTCCTGACGTTGCTCCAACCGCTTCTTATCGTCCACAGGCTGGACAGCTGCGGCCTCACAGCCAAAGCATGTGAGGAGATCTCTTCCACCCTAGGGGTCAACCAGACCCTCACGGAGCTTTATCTGACCAACAACGCCCTGGGCAACACAGGTGTCAGGCTGCTATGCAAGAGGCTGAGTCATCCTGGCTGCAAGCTCCGAGTCCTCTGGTGAGAGATGGGCCCTGCTTCTGGAGGAGGCCGGACACTGGGCTTGGAGTCGGGAATAAAGGTCAATAATTGAGACCCAGCTTGGAGAAACAAATAATCTAGAAAGCTTGAGTATTTATTTCCTAATCTGTCAAATGAGGCCCTTGTAGATTAGTGAGAATCTCTAATTACTCTGCTTGGTCTCAAATTCTAATTCCATCACTTACCAACTTTGTGATGTATTTTTGTAAATTATTCAACCTTTTTGCACCTCAGTACCCCTGTCTGTAAAATGAGGAAAATATAGTTGCTTTTTTGTAAGATGATTACTGCAGGGGGGCGGGAGTAGCTTGGGGGTGGAGTGCGTGGTTGGCAAGCACGAGGCCCTGGGTTCAATTCCCAGCACCTCCATTAAAAAATGATAAGTAAACCTAATTGTCTCCCCTCCCAACCCCAAGAAAAGGAAAAAGGTTACAAATTAAATGAGTTAAACACAGGTCAGGGACTTAAAATGGTGTGTAGCTTAGCGTAAGCCTATTTCCCAATATGACTCGGTGTCAAATGAAGGCCTAGCTAATGGAGTTACGTATTTAAAAATTTTCTTGGAGGGGGCAGGTAATTTGGTTTATTTATTTAATGAAGGTACTGGGGATTGAACCCAGAACCTCGTGCAGGCTAGGCACTGAGCTACACCGTCCCTCAAGAATTACGTATTTTAATGGGCAGGCAGAATGCATGATACACTTGATAGGTGGGTTGAATGCCGCAACAGAGGCCTGAAGCATTCCCCTCTGTGTCCTCAGGTTATTTGGAATAGACCTGAATAAAGTGACCCACAGAAGTCTGGCAGCACTTCGAGTAATGAAACCTTACTTGGACATTGGCTGCTGAATGGTTCCATCGGCTGCTTCCCTTGCAGTCAGGACGGAGGAGGATCATCCCGGGACTCGCTAACCAACAATCCAGCTCTTCAAGAGAAAATCCGCTGCAGGATAACCCTTGCTGCTTGAGGGTCTACGGAGCTTGGAGGTTTAGGTCTGGGAATGTTGGTGCCCTGGAGAGAATTCAGGGCAGGGCCAGATTCTAGAGCAGCTCACAACTGAGGGCCATTTTCGTGTCCCCACTGGGGAACATGGCAGTGTCAGAGGATGTTGGTGTGGGGGAGCTACTTGTGTCTAGTGGGAAGAGGATAAATGTCTTAAAATGCCTAAGACAGCCCCCAACGACAAAGCGTTTAGCTTACATGCCAGCTGTGCAGGAGCTGAGTAACCTTATTCTCAATTATTGGGACAGTTTGGAAGGCCGGTGCAACTTTGAACAATTGCCACACCAACCCCCCTTGCAACCTTGTTTTTGCACCTTAACTCTGGTCGCCCTGGCCGGAGCCAGGACGGTGGTTGAAACCTGCAGGCTGACCCACACCATTTCACTGAAGGCGTGAACCAGGAAACTTCAGGCTATGTCAATGACTGGTGGAAAACTTCAGGACAGCATGAGCCTACCGGGCTGAAGCTATCTGGAAGAGCCAGCGTTATGAAGCAGTATTTTAAGATTTTGCGATATTGTAACCTAAAGATGTTGGTTGGTTAAGCCCAGTCCCTGAGGACCTCATTCCCGTGGCCATCAATATCCTGGCTATGCACACAACCACTATGAACCCAATAAATATTAGGTACAGAGCCCTTGGCTTCCCAAGCCTCAGAGCCCGAGCCCACCCCACCTTGAACAGCTTCTGCAACAGCTTTCCACAAACCCCTAATTGGGCCAGGCTCTTTAAGGCTGACCCCCACTTCAACCCTTAGTCTGCATCGGGGTTAATGAAATCTGGGTATGAATTGCAGAGCATGCCCCTTAAAGGTAGATTTTCTGGTTTCACAGTATAATATATTAACTAGCAACAACATAGTTCCCAGGGCTTGAATTTGCTGGTCACTTAATGGCCCGGGAGCTGGAATAGCGTGGGGAGGGGCCACTGGGCAGTTTGTAAAGAGATAGGACACCCACAAGTGATGTTCAAATTCCTCCATTATATACAAACAGCCAACTTCTATAAATGGAGTTTCTGTAAATGGAGTGTAGAAATTGTGAATCACTATTTCAAGTCTATACCCACAACCTCCTTGCCATTCCCAAAGAACAGACATGGACCAGGAGCGACCGAACATTCAGTTTATTAAAAGGGGTCAATTGGGGCTGGAGGAAAAATGGCCAATACTGATGCAAGGCTGCAGCATCCCCCAAATCCAGTTGTAAGCAAAGTCCTCCTGGAACAGGAAACGACTTACGCCAAGAATCTGGAAAACTGCAAATGCTGAGTTAGGCAATGGCCCCATAAAGATAGGCATCTCAGGGCCTTATTTTCCTAAACCCAAACCCATGCATTTAGCTAATAGTGGTAAGGGGCCCCAATATCGGAGGGAAACAAGATTTTCTTGTCCTGCCTAGAGAAAAAGCCAAGTGTTCAGGAGGCACAGAGCCCTGCCCACTGCCCCGCCCCTCTACAAGAACCCCTCTACTCGCATAGACTGACCCACTGGAGTAGGTAATTTACTGGAAATATGAACCCACACATGGGGCATGCTATTGTAACCACGCCGAGCTCAGTATACGCTGGTGCTCAGATAAATGGACAGACTTAAGGATCGAAGTTAAACACCACACAGTATATTCGACTGGGAAAATCTAGGGGGTGGTAATTATGTATTGTCACATTTAGCTAAAACCAAGTATAAGGACAAACCCTGCAATTTGAAGAAAAACCTGTTCAGGACAGAG